ATATAAGTGTGCCTGCAGCCTATTACATGTGTGGCAGTCTGTGTGTATTTCATGTATTATACTAGTTGCTGTTTGTTATATGATTATGTATGCCATTTTATTGTTTTTTTTTTTTGGCCGTGTCATTGGACTGCTGGGAGTGGGTGGGAGGGTCTATTCCACCCTCCTTTTGACATTTCTTTGGTATATAGGCTTGTGGCCAGCAGGTTCATTTCCAGCTCTGAGGAAAAGGGTTCAGATCCCGAAACGCGTTAGCATCCGCAATTGAGGCACAGCTCTTTTGCGACTGTTTTTGTGGACCATACACACTGCTTTTATTATCGTTGGTTTGTAAGTATACATCCTTTTGTCTATTTAATAAATACGTGGTATACCACGGTAATGCACGATGAGAGTGCGCCCTTGTCTGTTCTTTTTTATCAGTGGTCAGATTTCCCGATCTTTGAAGGGCAGCACCTCCTCGTTTGGCATCCTGACATTTTTCCAGTTTGCATGAGGATTGCAGCGCTGGTTTCGTTTGTCCATCTCTTACAGAGTATTAACTGTATGTAGCCTCAGCTATATACAGTATACAGCGCTGTGTTCAGGCAGTGGGATGGGACTTTCCTACCCACTCCTGAAACAAAATACATAGTCATTGTCCTCCTCTCCGACTCAGAAAAACAGAGGAAGCATTCTATTTATTTTTAGAATAAAAAGCTTCCAGTGAATGGCTGAGCAGGGCTCATCCCGACTTCCCAGAAGTGGGATGGGAAATTCTGTTCTACTGCCAGAACAGTGCTATATATACTGTAGGTAGTTGAGGTTACATACAGTTAATACAGCATGCCCAGCAAGCACACCTGCATTAAATAGTTTGTTTGGGCCAGCTTGGTCCAAACAAACTATTTAAAAGGGACAAGTGTTAGGCTTTAATAATTTGACTATTGCCCAATTTCTAAAAAGTGTATTTTCATGTCTTTCGTGCCAAATTAATAAAAGGCAGGTACATAATTTCTATAGCAGAAGTAGACCAGATGCAAACTGGTGTACAGAAATGAGAAGTTGGAACTTTCATCTGGTAATGTTTTGTGTAAGAGCTCTATATTGTCACATGTTCATAATTTTCATTCTAAAAAAAACAAATAAATTAAATTGATTGTAAACCTATGGGGGCGCTCATGTGTTTATAGTCACAGACAGTGTGGATTAGCCCCGCCCCATCAAAGGCTTTGATTGACAGTGTAAGGAGGAAGAAAGCAGAGAGCCACTGCTCTTGGGAACAGCGCTGGATCGAGATCGGGAACAGCGCTGGATCGAGATCAGGCTCAGATAAGTCTAAGGAAGGTGGGGTGGAGGTTGCAACCTGTAGCACAAAAGGTTAACAGTATTGTAAACTTGCAACACATATCCCATATATGTGCAACACTAAGTACCAATTATTTGTTTTTGGCAGCAAATAACATATAGATTTGTATTGCATCTTTGGTGTCAAAATGATATTTGTGTGTCAATTTCTGTCTCACAAAACACACATTTGACCTAAGATAGTTTTTCATTTCTTATTACTACTTTCCATCCGGACCCATTTTTTGTGCATTATTTCTTCCTTTAATCACTATCCTGTGTTTTTATTTCTCTAAGTGCCATATTGATCTACTTACATTAGGTTCATTAATTTGGCACCCTTTGCACAGGACTATATTCATGTTAGAAATTGAAGCACTGTTCCACATGTTCCAGTCTTTGTTAATGCCCCCAGTGACTTAAAAAGCTGGTCATACACTTAAGAGATTTTCGTCTGAACATTCTTAAGAATCTCACATTTTTGAAAGTACTTCAGAATTTAATATGATTGTGATTGGCCCTGTCTGTACATGTGATAAATCACAGCTAGTGAAATCATTGTATACAATGGATGGTATGAAAGGAAGCCATCCATTGTTTACAATTGTCATGTCACATGGTACCGGCAACGGGCCAGGACACAGATCTGTCATCGACTGTGTCCGAGGTAAACAGCCAGTGACAGATCTCACCACAGTGCAGCCCTGCGGGCACATGCAAGGATCGATCCAGGAAGGATGTCATATTAAGCCCCCCCCAGAACGACAAGAGTCCTGCTCGCCCTTCATTCTGCTATTGAATGGGCGGGAACAGGGAAAAGGCAGTAAGTTTTATACCTTAATACATTTTATACATTAAGGTGAAAAACCTTCTGCGTGCAGCTCCCCTCAGCCCATTGGTGAGGAGGGAGGGGGGGTTTGGGGTTCGAGCCACGCTCTGTGTGCCTATGGGTTGGTAGAGAGCCCACATGTGCCCCGTAGCAAGTAGATTGCTATGGTGGCACTTGAAGGGGGGGGGGGGGGAGGGACAAGGAGTACTGGTGGTGGGACATGAGAAGAGGAGGATTGGGAGAGCTCTGTGCAAAACCATTGCACAGAGCAGGTAAGCAAGCAATGTTTGTTATTTAGAAAAAAAAAAAAAAATTTAAGCCTTTACAATCACTTTAAAGCAGGAACCTAGGCAAATGGATTTTAGTCATTACTGCTATGAAAGAAGAAAAAACATTACTATTAATTATGTATATTCCCCCATCAAGGATCGCTTACCATGCCTACACTTTCATTCAGCTGGATAGTATTGCTCATGCTATACAAGAATCACCAGTGATTCATGATGTGAGATACATATCTTTTTTTTTTATTTATGTTACAATAGTTACATAGTTAGTCTGGCTGAAAAAGGACAAAAGTCCATGGAGTTGAACCAAAAAGAAAAAAAAAAAAAAAAAGGTTTACTCCAATACCCAGTTACTGCAGAGGATGGCAAAAAAAACAGCAAAGCATTTGCTCCTGAAGGGGAAAAAAAATCCTTCCTGATCCCCCGAGAGGCAAATCGGATATTTCCTAGATCAACTTTACCTATAAATATTCCCTGGATGAACTTTACCTATAAATATAGTAATGGCTAAAATCTGTTTGCCTGGACTTCTGTTTTATCAAACCAAGAAAATCTCGCTATGAGCTTGTGATAAAAAATAAAGTAAATCGGTTGAGAAGCTGAGCAATTCAAAGAGAGTATATGATGACTATAAAAGCAAAACCAAATGTTAAACACTCAGAAGAGCCAGAGATACACGCAGCTGAAGAAATAATAAAAAACCTTACTTCTTCCATAAAATATGAATGTGGTCTCCACCTCCACCCCAAGCCCTACCTACTAGTTTATAAACATGATAGGAAGACCCACTGGTCAACAAATAGTCTCTGATGGTAGAAGGGGATGGAATCAAATAAAAAATGCATGTAGTATCTGTAATGTACATTTCTGAACCTCATGATTGTTTTGAGATGTGATTTCACAACTGGATTTATCAAGTGCTATAGGATGAACCTTCATTTAAAAGAACACATAGGAGAAACAATATACCGTCATATTGTTCTATAATGGCTCTTGCAATGGTGAGGTACTGGGAATGCTAATGGGGTGGACTTAACTCTGACATTCCTTCAAGGGATACAAGACAGCTTGTGATTTAAAGTGGAACTTTAGTCAGAAAATTAAGTCTTGCTAGATCACGTCAGGCTGGTCCCTTTTGCAGGTGTAGCTATGTAAAACATTAAAAATAAGTGCCTCTACGGTTTAAAATCCAGTAATACACTGTCCCACACATGCTCAGTTGCTCTCTATTCTAGCCATTTTTAGGGCACTGTGCCGAATTTGTAGAGGCCGATCTGCTGACAGTCTAAAGATTAATATGGAACTAAACCCATCGATTTAAAAGTTTCAAAAAACAGTTAAATTCCCGGCATGCCAGAAATGCAAACCCCCAATTCACAGCTATGCGGCTGCGCGGGCTGCGTTTTGCACAGGCACAAGAGCCCATTCATTTGAACGGACTCCCGTGCCCGTGACACACAGGGAAGAAGTCCCTGCACTTCTTTGAAAAGCGCAGCCCGCACGGGAACCTCAGTTCCAAGTACGTTTGCGTTTCCCAGTGTGGGCGACGTACCATTAGAACTAATGTCACCCGCCCGCGGGTCCGCATTTCTCTGTGCGGGTGGTGCAGCTGCACGGATTTTCGTGCGGATCCGCATCGGCACCACCCGCACAGATCTGAACCTAGGGTAACTGTCACATTTGCTTGTGTTCTCAACCAAACTGTCTAACCATCAAATGACTGGTGTTACAACTTATCATATGTGCAGCACTATGGCAATTTCTGCTCAACGCAGAGTTTAGTTCTGCTCTGACTACCGCTCAGGGCTCTGGGCTTCAACAAAACGGCAGCCTCCAGCAAAAAGAAACAAACAATTCTGGAGGCAATATACAGCACACAATAATTTTGGTTGCATAACTATTAAATGTGGAATCTATGCTCCTTGCTAAAAAAAACATAATTATTTTATCAATTGTTATAAGTTCCGCTTTAACTTTCCAACAGTCACACAAAACTGAAATGTCAAGTCTAGGTGAAGCTCACCTTTGAAACAAATGATACATGAGCTCATGTTTTTCAGGCAATAACGACACATGCAGGATGCATACTATATCATTTTAAAAGACAATGTATGCTAGCATCTATTTTCAAATCTAATACTCACATACTAGGGCTCAACACTTTTAGATTTGACCATGTTTGTTTGGGTATCAACAAATTTGTTCCATACCTGTGTCATGGAAGATCAAAGTGAACTATCCTTTGAATGTATCTTACAATGGCTTACCATAGGTGGTGGCAGCATTAGTTTGGGATTCAGAAGACCAGAATCACACCGATTCTCTCCTGGATTCTTCTTTGGAGTCACTATTGTCCCAGAGTTAACAGTTTGCACAGTCTCATCAAATCTGTCCAGAAAATAAATTCAATATGTAAGCTGGAGAATTATATTCTAGAATATGATCATTGCAGGTGAATAACTATCGATATAAAATGCTCTCAGTCACGTACTTTGGTACTCGATAACTTAGAACATTTGATGTGCACATAAAATCCAGTATTATAATGCTAGTTTTTTTTACCGTTTGTGATATTCAGTGAGACTGTCTCCTTCCTCAAAAACCTTACGGCCTGCAAAATCAATAGTGACTTTACGAGAGAGTCGGGAAGCATGACGCAGTTCTTGCAGCTCTTGTTCCTTCTTACGGAGGGCCTCCCTTTCTGCCATGGACAACCACTGGTTGGAATCAGTGGAGAAGTAATCTGATTCATCATCAATCACATGTGTGCGCCGTACACTGTAGACAACAAGCACATTTTAAAAATAAAGCCAATTGGGATTTCTTTTCTTCTACTGTGTTTAGAGGAATTTGTAAAAGCATCAAATACCTAGTCTTGTCATACTCCAGAAGCTTATCACGATGCTGCAAAGCTTTTACTAAACCCTCCTTCATCCGCATTTCTTGATGTGGGAGTAGATCCATGGAAGAACCATCCATCTTTAGAGAGGCATCAGAAACTGGAATTGAAAACCAAAATCAAAAAGTGATTTGCTATGTCATAGGGAACATTTAGAAACTCTAATTATGGCTAAGCAAGACCTTACAAATTTACTTTTTACCTGGAATTCCTCCAAAAAATAGCACTGTACTTTCTGGTATGTAAGAGTGCCTTAGTACTTCTGTACATACAGATTAATAGCTGTACATCTGTAGTATGTAAGATCTAAGGTATTGCTGACTCTCACTGCTAATGAGATTTTGTGATGTAACTACTGTGCGGCTCAGTGTTCTCTTTGCCAGTAGCTCTAACATGAAAAACCAAAGCCCTGCCACTACCAAGATGGCTGCCTCTACACAAACGCAGAACAAGGATTGATCAAGTCAATAATGAGCTAAAGATCAGCTGCAGGAAAATCACAGGCAACACTGCTGACTGGTTCTTTGTCCTCTGCCTTCCTGTTTTTGGGCACATCTTCCTATTTAACAGTTCACCAATATCCACATTTTTTCCTTTTTTTGAGCCATGCAGATAGGTAGTATTCAATCCATCCACTCATCCAGACCCAACCCTCCATTATTTTACTCAGCTCAAGGATTTCTTTAATTGAATAGGTATTACCAGATAGATATGTAAAATTAATTAAATGTAAGAACATACGGTATGTGATGGATATTTCTGTTTCTGACAGTGCTTACTACATTAGCTGACAGTAAATAAAACATTCATATTCAAGCTAGTAATAAACAATATTAAACTGGACTTGTCCTGAGGTTTCCCCACTCAGAACATAGCAGAGTGTCAACTGTGCAATGCAAGGGCCTGCCTGATTGTCATGTTTCACATGAGTGTCATATGCCTTTAAGTGTTCTTTGTATTTTGTCTCTGCTCCTCCCCTCCCCTTGGTTTAGTTCATGCTGTATAGATAGCTCCACCCCTTTGTTCATGTTCCCAGCAGGGGTGGACTGACCATTTGGAAACTCAGGCACTGCCCGAGGGCCCGGGGTCAGTAGGGGGCCCCATGAGATGCCCCTGATACCTTTTTCATAGGCTTTTTTGAGTTTGGGCAAGAACACAGGGGCCCCATGATCCTCTATTTCCCGGGGGCCCCATGAGTTGTCAGTCCGCCCCTGGTTCCCAGTAATGCACCTCAGCTTCAAGCCTCATGTCTCCTGGAGTAGATCACATTATGATCTTTTGACCTATCCGATGTTCATTGTTGTAAGATTCTCTTAGTTTATAGAATAAACTTCACAGATCTACAAGGTGTCGTCTGGATCGAGTGACTGCCTGTTTTATTCACATAAGATTGGAGTTATCGCTATCTCATCACAACTGTAAGTTACAGAGATCACACTTTCAATGCTTAGATTGGAAAGACAAAACACTGATTGAATAAAGATGGATCAGTTAGTTCAGGTAGGTCCTCATATTATATAGTAATGCAAATTCCAACTTTGTTTTGTATAAACTCAAAAGTTCACCATACATGTTACAATCTTTGCACAATCAAAGTCTGCCTTACCTCCCATTAGTTTCTTCCTTAATTTCTGACTCTTGTTTGAGTCTCTCATTAAAATATCTTGCTCTTCCTTTGTGCAAACCTAAGGCATGGGGCACAAAAAGCAAAATGTGACTCCTAGTATAAAATATAAAACACACCGTACAGCTCTCTCTTTTTGAATATAATGCATAGAACTATTATGGAAGATTATTCACACCAGTACAAGGTAAAAAATTGCTTATAACATTAGTTTTCATAGGTACTTTTTAGGATTGTAGAATTTCAAGAGAACCTATCATCAGTATGTGTCAGTTGCCAGCATTTCAAACAACCGCTGGTTTCTTCCTTTTAGAAAATAAGTTTTTTCACCATTTTTTCATCTTGTTGCATCTCAGTGGTGCTTTTCAACCTCACCTGTCTACATGTACTCATTTCAGCAGTAGCAACATGTCATTGCTCAGGACAGGCATCCCAATGGTTACAACAATGGAACATGCCTGCATAACAAGTGTTGGCACTGCCATGTATAGTTTCAAGCAGAAGCACATGACAGGGTGAAATGCAGGAGAACAATTAGCAGAATCGGCAGGTGGTATTCCTATTGAAACTAAATTAACATGTTAAATATTATATGAGATTTTTGTGACTGGTTTTACATTGTCATTATATTTTTTACAGACTTACTATTAAGTGCCCTGTGAGTAAGCTTTTAATTGCCTGGTTAGTGCAGAAAGTGTAGAGGGGTGCCTAAAGTCCGACAGTATCTGCCATGATGACCATGCACAGTATTCCATTGCAAAAAGAGTAGAACAGAACAAAGCCCAAGAGATTACCATGTTATGTACTATGTAAACAGAAAAATCTAGGTGAGTAGTAAACAACCCTGGAGAGGTGGAGATCTACCTGAACATCAAAGAAGAGATCAGAGATTAGGGTGTGGTGAGCTATTTTTTTGGTGTTGTTTTTTTAATACAAAAAAAAAAAAAAAGTAACCAAGCAATGTCCCATTAAAAACCAAGGTAAATTTGAAGATTTCAGGAGTTGGTATTAAAGCGTTTCTAAACCCACAACAGTAAAATCAGCTGGTATATGCAGTAAAGCATGCATGTTATGCTCACTCTGGAACCTAGGGGATTAATCCACCTCATTGTGTAAAAAGGATGTTTGATCCTGATAGAACAGGGCCTTGGGGGCAAGCTGCATATGCTCAGTTTGGTGTGTATTGCTAGATAGTTTCTTGAGATTGGTCCTCTGCTGATCACATGCACTATCAGCACTGTCCAGACAGAGGGTCAGGGTTCCCGCAGTCTCATAGGACAAGGAGAATGAAAACTCCTATATACATCTTTAACCAGTGTTCCGCAGTACACTGATAGAAGTCACAAGACTGCTCTAACTGCTGATGAGAAAAGGTATTTAGCAGTTTATATTTGCTAAAATAATTGCATTTCCATGTTCTGTGTACTGTGGGAGACCGGATATAGTGAATGCAGGGTCCTGGGTTTAGTAACACTTTAAGTAAAAGAGTTCAGAGGTATGTATTGCACAGTGCAAGGGTCAAGGGTAAGTAGACTTCAGAGATATGTGCAGAAGTGTACCCCATCTCTCTGCACCCCACTTTCTTTATTAGCGTTTGCACCACACATTCACATTTTATCATGATCAGAGCTAGGAGTGACACTAACACTGCTCACTGCAGACTGTGCATGCAGCTTGCCCTTTTCCTCCAAACACCACACAAGTATGACCAAGAATCCTGAGTGCAGGGGAAGCATCTAATCCAACCAGAATTTTAACCTTTTTACGGAACACATAAAACTACTCTGCAGTTCTTCCAACCACACAGGGAACACCAGGTGGGCAGCTAGCAGTATTGTAGGGTCACGGTCTGCGAGTTACATGGCCACAATTAACTGGTTGCCAATTGCCAACTCCCAAATTATAGGATCGCCTTTATTATTGTCTCACGCTAATCATTTGTATTTCTTAGCATTACTGTACAGAATGTAAAAATTACACTAATGTCTTTATCTGGCTTTATAAAACAAAATTTGTTAAATGTAAACACAAAAAAATGTAACATATTTAAGAACCTCATACTTAAGAGGTATGTAAACAACTACAGGGCTCTGTAATCTGACTCTGTTATACAGTCTCAGGAGCTGGAAGACGACATTCATGACAGTGTGTGAGCAAAGTTAACAGGGCAATGAATATAAAGACTTGAGGTAATCTTGGATCACCAAAACTCAAGCTATGTCAGGCACTGGACAGAGTAAATAGGATAAATAGTATGGAAAATATAATCATCATAAGTAAGGTTGCACAATTCTAATAAGATTAAATATTCTTGTTATTTTATATCCACAATTGTAAATTGTTCTCTTTAAACTACAGTAGGTCCAAAAGTTCAACCAATACTTTTGTAAATTTTTTAAAAGAAACTGACTTTTGTACCAAAATTCTGTTCATTAAAAGGCATAAAAAAAGTTAAAACAAAAATCAGAGGATAAGCTCACCTTTGGGAACATGTTACATGTTCCACCCGCTTTTAGGGTGTAACATGCTCCCATAGCAACAGATGCAGATGCCCCCCTGACAGTACGGGGAGAAGACTCCCCGTACTATCTGTTAAATTTAAAAACAGCGCAACTGTACGGGGCTCCGCCCACACATCCGTGAATGAATGAACTGCAAGTCCCGAAAGCCTTAGCGGCTGTCGGCTTGTAGTTTTCAATGAACTACCACTGCGCTGTGGAGCACTGTGGTAGTTCATTGAAGCTTCCTGTCAGAAAATCTGCTTGCTCATACATCCCGTACGGCAAACAGATATTCTGACAGGTCTGCAGGACACCTGCATGGTATCAGCGATCAACTGATCGCTGGTGTAATGCTTTCCAGGCATCTGTAGACAAAATTAAAAAAATGTGCATTTATTGTTTTTATTATTTTTGTCAAAAAGGTAAAACCTTATCCTTTAAAGTGTTTTTGTATCTTAATGCAGCTTCAACCAAAGATGAATAATGCCCTTGCTATAGGTGAAGGTCATTTATGTACCTCCTGAAGCCAGATAGAAAACAGCCTCAAGGAAAAGATCATCCCATCCTGCCTTGTTGCTAGGACATCGCTAAGACAGCCCCAGCCATTACTGTTCACCTCCACCATCACAGTGAACTCTCAAACGCTATGCTCAGAGCTACTGCATCAGGGGACAGACAGCACATGTGAAGAGATTTGAATCAGAGACAGAACTCACTCATTTGACTGAGGAGGTGGTCAGTAACAGCTGGGTATCTCTTAGCAACATGGCAGGATGGGATGATGCGATGTCTGGGAGTTTTTTTAGGCAGGCTTAAGGAGATATGTAAATGCCCTAGACAAACAGCAAAGGGATTATCCAACTTTGATCAAAGCTGCACAGTTTGTTTTTATCTACAGACACCCTTTATCTGCATAGGCAGTTTATTGGCAAAGGTGAACTATGTTATTAATACCTTTGGGTCCATTTACACCATCGTTGTGCATTAATACACAGAAATGAACATTCGTTTTTTTCTGGTTTAATGAATGTTGAGTTGAAGTAGAACTAAAGCCAAAAGTATAGATTTATTACCCGTGTGTGTGTGTGTGTGTGTGTGTGTGTGTGTGTGTGTATTTATTTATTTTTTGTTATTTATATCTTACTGGGGATACTCTGCCCCAGAGGCACAAGAAAGGATAGAAAAACTCTCCAAAATGAGTGAAATCCCATCTTAGACAGCTGTCATCAGAACTAGTGTCAACACAGGAAGATTTCTTCTCTATTCATGTTCTGGAAGTAGCACACAATTGAGATTTTCCCTTACTTTTACTCTTGTTGATAGTTGTCATCAGGTTAAACAGAGAGGATGACAAAGCCAGCAATAGAAACCTAACTGGTGTTTTAATCTCTCTAGTCTAGCAAATCTAAGGGTCACCATGCACATTACAACCTGACTATACAATCAACTTTAGATTTACCAAAACTATGTAATATGAGGACCTATTATATCCAAATAATTTGCATCAGATCAGGCAGGCCCTTATACTACTTACAGTTGGTGGTAGATTCAAAGGAGGTTGTACAATCAGATTGTGACATGTTCGATGAGCTTAAAGAGGAACTATTCTCACCTACAGACCAGCATCTCGGAGCTCCCTGCCGGCCGCTGACATCTTCTTTCATTGGCCAGCCCAAGATGACATCAGTCCAGTTTGCTTTGGCAAAATTGCTGAATTTGTACAATGAGCTGTGCATGCGAAGCTCACTGTACAGAAGCAGACAGGCAGGTAAATACCTTTAATGCAGAAGAGACAAAGCATGACACTTCTGTAATAAAGTCCTGCCTGGTAACAAAGTAAATTCTGCAAAGTAAATGTTTTATGAAGAAAAAAAGATGAGGGAAACTATATGATAGGTAATAATTTCCCTTTCATCCTCTAGGTCTCAAGTACTATACATGTGACTTCTGACTTATGGGAGAGATGAGGAAGCATTTAGAGTGTATCTCACTTGTAGTCCCCACTATAATGTATAGCGCTGAGCAAACCTTTTGGCGCTATATAAATACTGTATAATAATAATAATAGTCATTAAACGGCTTTGCAAGAGGATCTAGAGCTGGTTGTACTATCCTGCCATATGGAAGCAGAGAAGAAGAGTTAAAAAAAACAAATGTTGCAGCGCACATCTGTGTGTTTTGTTATGCTACTGCGCGGGTACATTTTTATTTATTGTATATGTGTGTTGGAGTACCATTAAAAAAATGGCAGTGGGATGCAACAAATATATGTAGTTTGTAGCAATGTACATTTTTACAGCTGATTACCACACACTGTCTGCATTTGGCACTGTGCACCTGCATGAACGGCAGATTTGGAGCAGCGTCTGTCTGTGCAGCTGACGCGTCCCATTTGACATCAATAGGGCTGCATGGAACACCTGTGTTTCTCCATGCGGGTAAACACAACGCTCCGCAGGTTTACGATTTAGCATGAGGCCTGTGAATGAGGCCTTCCTGTAATTACTCTTCGTTTATTAATGCACCAAGGAATTCTGTAGACAACTGTAATAGAATTTGTAACTAGTAATACACTGCTTTAAGTAAAGGCTGCTTATAGATTGTGTTGAAGTTGAGTCTCTCGCATATTATATTTAACCAAATTAGCAACTGTTGATGTGATCCATCTAGTATTTTTTGGAATCATCATCAATGCTGTGAATTTATTCATGAACACCATGTATTTGTATAATAAACTCTCAGACTCTTACCAAGCTTCCACAAAACAGACAAGGTCCAGACCCCTCCTGTTCACATACTATACGTCCACATGTCATACAGTTGTTGATGAGCTTATGCTTCTGGGCCAGGCACTCGCATGGATAACGCCCAGGAATCAGCACAGCCAGTCGGTCCTGTCCCTCTTTGGTGTACAAATTGACATACTTCTGTTTTTTCTTGGAGGACGAGAGATTAGCTGTCTCCTGAGCCTGATGACAGATAAAAAAAAAAAAGATTGATTACATGATAAAAATAGACACCACAATGATGTACACACAAAAGAAGCAAGATAGTGGCCTCATCTGATATAAAGGGCAAGTCTCTGTAAATTTGATACATAAAAAGACTTTTCAAAAAGGCGGTGTAGTAGGAAGGTGACACAAACCCAGCTGACTTCCGATAACTAATCCTATAAACAAATTAATATTACCAAGTGTTAGCTGTAAGCCTCCTGTAGCTATAACCACAAAAAAAAAAAAAAAAAAAAAAAAAAAAAAAAAGAGAAGATGCTGACACGTGCTAAGGCAGCAAATTCAATATGAAAGTGTTGCCAGTTAAAGGCAAAAAGTACCTGAGCTATTTTTGGCACTATGCATTGTGGTATGCTAAAGATCTTGTTCATTTCGTCTTACTGTGTATGTGTGTTTTAGAACCATTCAGAAATGAGTGGCAGTGCGCTGCAACACACAAAATACCCCTGCATTTACGTGTGTTGCAGAAATGCATATTTTTTATTTATTTATTTATTTTAAGTGGGTTGTCGCAGTGCAATAGTGTGAACACAGTCTTTTACAGTTGCAAGAAAAAGTATGTGAACCCCTTGGGATTACGTGGAGTTTTGCATGAATTGGGCATAAAATGTGCTCTGAACGTCATCTAAGTCACAACAATAGAAGAACACAGTCTGCTGAACATAATACTACACAAACATTAGATGTTGCCATGGTTTAATTGCACATAACATGTAAACATTCACAGTGCAGGGAGGAAAAAGTATTTGAGGCCCTAGCTTAATGACTTCTCCCAGAGCTAATTGGAGCCAGGAGTGAGCCAACCTTGACTCCAATCAGTGTGATGATATTGGATGTGTTGCTGACAGCTGTCCTGCCCTTGAAAAACACACACCTGTTTTGGGTTTACTGGTTTCAAGAAGCACTGTCTGATGTGAACCATGCCTCGCAGAAAAGAGCTCTCAGAAGACCTACGATCAAGAATTGTTGACTTGCATGAAGCTGGAAAGGGTTACAAAAGTATCTCCAAAAGCCTTGATGTTCATGGGTCCACGGTAAGACAGACTGTCTACAAATGGAGAAAGTTTAGCACTGTTGCTACTCTCCCTAGGCGTGGTCGTCCTGTAAAAATGACTGCAAGAGCACAGCGCAGAATGCTGCATAAAGTAAAGAAAAATCCCAGAGTGTCAGCTAAAGACCTACAGAAATCTCTGGCACGTGCTAACATTTTTGTTGACACATCTACAATAAAGAAAACATTAAACAAGAATGGAGTACATGGGAGGACACCACACCATTGCTGTCCAAAAAGAATATTGCAGCACGTTTGAAGTTTGCAAAAGAGCACCTGGATGTTCCACAGCACTACTGGCAAAATATACTGTGGACAGATGAAACCAAGATTGACTTGTTTGGGAAGAACACACAACACTATGTGTGGAGAAAAAAAGGCACAGCACACCAACATCAAAACCTCATCCCCACTGTAAAACATGGCGGAGGGAGCATTATGGTTTGGGGAAGCTTTCCTGCCTCAGGGCCTGGACGGATTGTTGTTATTGATGGGAAAATGAATTCCAGAGTTTATCAAGACATTTTGCAGGAAAACGTACGACCATCTGTCCGCCAACTGAAGCTCCGCAGAGGATGGGTGATGCAACAGGACAATGACCCAAAGCATACAAGTAATTCAACAAAAAAATGGCTGCAACAGCACAGAATACGCCTTCTGGAGTGGCCCAGTCAGAGTCCTGACCTCAACCCGATTGAAATGCTGTGGCATGACCTTAAGAGAGCGATTCACACCAGACATCCCAAGAATATTGCTACACTGAAACAGTTTTGTGAAGAGGAGTGGTCCAAAATGACTCCAGATCGTTGTGCAGGTCTGATCTGCAACTACAGGAAACGTTTGGTTGAGGTTATTGCTGCCAAAGGAGGGTCAACCAGTTATTAAGTCCAAAGGTTTACATACTTTTTCCTCCCTGCACTGTGAATGTTTACATGTTATGTGCAATTAAACCATGGCAACATCTAATGTTTGTGTAGTATTATGTTCAGCAGACTGTGTTCTTCTATTATTGTGACTTAGATGACATTCAGAGCACATTTTATGCCCAATTCATGCAAAACTCCACGTAATCCCAAGGGGTTCACATACTTTTTCTTGCAACTGTATGTCAACATTTGACCCACACGCTGCAGGCTAACTCTGGGGCAGGGACACACTCATTCAGTATTGCTTAAAATGAGGTGACTGGCCAGAGACAATTATGCAGCTAATAAATCAGACAGTGGCAAGTTCCAGCAGTCAGATTTTAGATTAACGGCAGATTATACCTTTTTATATTATTATTTTTTATAAGGAATGTAGGGGAAGAGGAACAGCAGCTGGATTATTTTCAGTGTACTGTGAAAGCTAACAGCTGCTGCATATGGATTGGGACAGCTTCCCTTTACATAATGTAGCCCAAAAGAACTGATAAACTGAAGCAATAGAGAATGAGAACACATCACTAACTCAAACATTTTGTATAGCCTTGTTTTTGTTTCTGTTTTCTACCCTCCCTGACATATTATTATCCTCATACTGTGCTGGCTACAGTATTGTTGCTATAAAAGCTACTTTCACACTGCTCCACTGGAAAAAAATGCATCAAAAATGCATATGCAATGCACATGAGAGATTAAATCCTAAAGACCTGAGCATGAGTTATCAAGGAGATATCACAAGAAATTAAAAACTTTGCCATTGTAGACTGTTTAGAAGAGTTAGAGTAGACACTAGCCCCATACATAACCCATAATCAATTTTAAAGAGAGAGCATCTAGCAAATAATTAAAGTTATGTCTGTATAAATTACTGTTTGAGCTTGCTCTTATGTACGCATTTTGCCATTGTCACTTTTCATTTGATGGTATAGGAGCATTTCTGTCTAAGCATTCTGCAACTGATTTGCAAAAACTGGAGCACAGAGCAAATACCCTCAGTGGGTTTTATCTTTCCTCCTTTGCTCTTTGTAAGTTTAGGCATGCACTCTCTAGCCTTTATTAGGAAAATAATATAATTAGGAAGGAGTATTATAGGTGACACCGCTCACTAACTTTTATCCTTCCACTCCACCCCTACTCCAATCCTCTACAAGATTAAATTGCTTTTTTTGACATTTTTATTTACTTTTTTTTAGAAAATGTTATGCCCCTCCCCCTCCCCCCTTGCACATCATTTACCTAGGCAAATGACAAACATTGTGCTCCCTTTGCCTCCTGGGATATGCATGTCACATATTCCAGGGGGCATAGCCTTTCATTGAAGAAAGGGGGAGGGGGTGGGTCTATTGGCATGTCATTTGTAGGCACATCGGCTGAACCCGGAACAACCTGTCAATGATGTCACACGGAAACATGGCAACGTGGGACCGAGTGCTGCCAGAAGAGAAGAGCATCTCCACTGGACAACGCTGGATCTGCTGGTGGCGATTGTCTAAAATGTGCTGATCTCCTCCCCAGGTAAGCAGCCTTAAAAATTTTATATATATATATATATATATATATATATATATATATATATAATGGGGGAGGGTGAAATTCCTTTTTAAGAAATCATGGTTGTGAACCGTTAAGCGTTGGTTCCTCCCTTCTCTCTATGGTCTGTGAACTGACTTTTGTGGTATTACTGGATAGAATGGCTTACAAGTATTAAAACACAATTCCATTTGTTGCATTTTTTATGCGTTTGAGTTGCGGTTTTACCCACTGGACAAAGCAGTTCCCACAGATGCATTGCATTTTTGATGCATTGTAGATGCAGTTTCCATTTATTTCAATGAAAAAACATGCACCAAAAATGCAGCAAGCAGGACTTTTAAAAACACAACTGAAGCGCAATAGACCAGTGTGAAGAGCTTCATAGGATTTAAAGGAATCCATTTTCCTTCGGCTTTTTTAACTGAACAAAAACAGATGTATGAAAGCAACCTAAGACATAAGACATGCTGAACACCCTATTAATACATTATTTCATTAACTAAAAACAATGGCCCTTAAATAAATATGTTCAAAGAATAAATACATTATCTAAACTGCAATTATTTACAAAAGCCATTTAGGCCTTATGTACACAAAGCTTAAAAAAATGCCACTTATACAGGCAGTTTTGTTTTGGAAAAGCACCTCCAGGTCAGCCTATGTGGCCATGCACACATAGGTGTTTACACATGTATTAGAAGAGGAGTGTTTACAGGCAAAAAAAAACACACCAAAGGTTCATTCTTGAGAGGAGCTTAAAAGAAAAAAAAAAACACATTCCAATGGCCAGAATATATGAAAGGATAAGTTCACATTTGGGAACAGGTTACATGTTCCACCGATTTTACGGTGGAAAATGGGTTTTCACAGATGCAGCTGCTGCCCACTGCTCTCTCTCCCCTGTGACAGCAGTATGGGGAGAATTTCCCCATACTAGCTGTCACTTTTTGAAAACAGCACGACCATGCAGGGCTTCGCACACACTGCCGCGTTATTCATGCACAGAGTTCTGTGAATGAATGAACTACAAGTACAGTGTACAAGTACACTCACAGTCTGCACGAGTCCTGCATGGCACCAGAGATCTCCTGATCCCTGGTGCAATGCTTTCCAGGCTCCAAAAAAAAAGAAGGAAAAAAAAATAGTAAATGCAAATGTTTTTACCTGAATTATCTTTTTTTTTTTTAAAGTGAACTTTAATATTCTGGCCAGTTAAATGCATTTATGCTCAAATGCCATATGCACATAATCATGTGTGCAATACGCAGTTTTTAGCACATTTTGTTTTTATCTGCCAACAGCTTTGGCATTCAGAGGGGCTTTTTCAGATGCCCCATATGCATGAGACCTTAAAGTATAAATCCTCTCTAATCACGTAAACTGATTTGCACACAGACCTTGGCCAGATCCATAGGAGTTTTGACTTCTTCTGCAGCAGTATCAGCCACAGCATACACTGGCAGTGGCTCCATCTTGTTCCTTCCTTTACGCCTGCCTCTTCTTGACTGGTCTATTAAGAATGATGGACCAGAAACTTCTGTATCTTAAAGAAAACTGTGGTCACTTTCATTGTATAACAGCATTTTAATAACAATACAAATAATAGTTATTTTTGACATTCCAGTATAAGCGTACAGTAAAAATTCCCTTTCATGTTGTGAGTGCTACCCGTCTGTTGGCCATCTCCTTCCTCAACTTCCTGGATTTCATGCATGCTTTTCAGCTTCTCCTCTGCTGTTTTCTTTCCATTTTGATTGACTAAACATCCCATGAAACCTTTCCGACTGCAAGCAGTGATTCCTGTACTGACTGCCTCCTGAAACTCCCCCTCTCAGGACCTCTGTAGGTCAGAAGGCAGGTTCTGTGAAATGTGTGACTCAGCAATGCCTACCCACAGGACATAGTAAATACATGTCAAAGATCTCAAGGAAGTATGTTTCCATTCAAGTCTGTGGAGCTACAAATCGCATTGCACTGAACTCGCACAGGACCCGTTTTCAAATCGCATCAGATTCGCACTACATATATGTGAATGGCCTCTGTAGAAACTCATGTTCTTTCACTTGTCATGTGATTCTGTGCTTTCTGGAGCGCATCAGAAATTGCATCAATGTGAACAAAAGGGCTAAATGTGTGGGGATCTTCACAAAGTAAGTTTATGAATGTCAAGATTGTTCTGAATAAAAGAAGTACGTTAAAAAAAAATGATAAACAATGTGGAAGTTAATAATTGGTTTTACATTTCAACCAAAGACATGCTTTAAGCAAAAAAGGGAAATCTACATCAGAACTGCCATCTTAAAAAAATGTTTTAAGAAAGCTAAGTTCCATCTACATATCAAATTTTTATAATATGGCTGTTTGGGCTTTAACCCATCAATATATTTATTACTGGAAAGAAAATATCCTTAATTGAAGTTGCACTCTTACATAGCTAGTCTTGCTGAAAAAAAGAAAAAAAAGTTCATCCAGATCAACCATTAAAAAAAAAACAAACAAAAAAAAAAAAAAAAAAAGGGTATAATCCTACACCCACAGTTGATCCAGAAGAAGGCAAAAAAAAACCCCCAGCAAAGCATGATCCAATTTGCTCCTGCAGGGGAAAAAAGTTCTTCCTGATCCCCCGAGAGGCAATCAGATATTCCCTGGATCAACCTTACCTATAAATGTTAGTATCCAGTTATATTCTGTGTATCTAGGATAGAATCCAGGCCTTTTTTAAAGCAAACCACTGAGCTGGCCAGAACCAACTCTTGAGGGAGTCTATTCCACATTTTCACAGCTCTTACTGTGAAGAAACCTTTCTGTGTTTGGGGATTAAATTTATTTTCCTCGAGATGTAAAGTGTGCCCCCTTGTCCTCTGATGACCTCAGGGTGAATAACTCTACACCGAGTTCACTATATAAACCACTGATGTATTTATACATGTTGATCATATCCCCCCTTAATCTCCTCTTCTCGAGAATAAATTCAGTTCCTCTAATCTTTCCTCATAGCTGAGCTCCTCCATGCCTCTTATCAGTTTGGTTGCCCTTCTCTGTACTTTCTCCAGTTCCCCAATGTTCTTTTTTCTGAATTGGTGTCCTAAACTGAACTGCATATTCCAGATGAGGTGTTACTAATGATTTGTACAGGGGTAGTAATGATATCTCTCTCTGGAGTCTATACCTCTTTTAATACAAGAGAGGATTTTGCTCGCTTTAGAAACCGCAGCTTGGCATTGTATGCCATTATTAAGCTTGTGACCTACCAGAACCCCCAGATCCTTCTCCACCATTGATTCCCCCAGTTGTACCCCCCTAGTATGTATGATGCATGCATATTCTTAGCCCCCAAGTGCATAACCTTACATTTATCAACATTAAACCTCATTTGCCACATAGTTGCCCAATTAAACGGTGCATTGAGGTCGGCTTGTAAGTAGGAGACATCCTGTAAGGACTTTATTCCACTGCACAGCTTGTTGCCATCTACAAAGACTGAAATGGGATTTTTAATCCCAGACCCTACATCGTTTATAACTATATAAACGCTTGAAATCAAAGAATATGTAAACCCAACATTTCTGATGCATGTTATGTGCCTACTGTACCATGTACTTGTATGAAAAAGTATCCTGTTCTCTTTATATTGCTTCATTTGTGTGAAATACCCGTGATCCTACCAGTCCCTCTGCATTCTTATTAGAATGGACTATAAGCAGAACACATTGTGGTCAGTTCTCTACCTGTGCTGGGAACTCAGCCTGCTCTCCTCCAATGTCGTGACACCCCCCCCCCCCCCTAAACTCCTAGCACAGCCATTTACTGGGAAGATCACCATACTTCTGTTTCTCCTCCAATAGCTCTTATGCAGAACAGAACAGAGGGAATGTGATCATAATGTTATGAATGTGATAAAAAGAAAAAGAAAAAAAAAAAAAGAAGGGGGAGGGAGGGGGGGTTGTATTTATATCTATACACAAATACTTTGCCGTTCATTTCTATTTTAAACTGAATGGGTTGTTTTACAAGGTGTGGGTTTACATATACTTTAAAGGAAACACAAAATGTTAGCCAAAAGAGCTTATTGCATAACTGAGACTCTTATGAGATGTTTATTGTGCTGAGTTAACCAAAGCCAAGCAATGGAAAATTACTATAATTGGTTTCAGCTCCACCTGGTGTAGTTTGGAGTTGTAGAACAATATACTATGAAGTATTGTGACTGACCTAATTTGGGGGACAATAATGGATTGCTGTGGGAATAAATCAAATACTCATCATATTCTGGTATTACCTCCAGCTAAGTAGCAGCATAGTTGATCAGGACTGCATCATTAAAGTGTTACTAAACCCAGAACCTTGCATTCACTATATCTGATCTCCCACAATACACAATAACATGGAAAAGCAAATTATTTTAGTAAATAAAAACTACTAAATACCTTTTCTCATCAGCAGTTAGAGCAGTCTTGTAACTTCTATTAGTGTCCAGCAGAGCACTGGTTAAAGCTTGTAGGAGTTTTCTTTCTGCTCTAGGAGGATGAAGAACCCCTGACCTCTGTCTGGACATTGCTGATTGGCACTGTGCTTATCACATGCACTCTCCCAAGAGATATATATATATATATATATATATATATATATATATATATATATATATAATAAAAACACCTCTCTAGCAATATACCCCAAATTGAGCATGTGCAGAGTGTCTCCACATGATACGTCTTGTCAGTTGATAAGCTGGGGACATAGGAAGAAGTCAGGATCAAACATCCTTTTAACACAATACAGATGATTAACCCCTTAGGTTCCATAGTGAGTATAACAAGCATGCTTTACTACATATACAGACTGATTTTACTGTTGTGGGTTTAGTAACACTTTAAGAAAAAATCGAAAAGCATATTCTTGAGATGTATGGCATACTGCAGTGGGACTACACTACTTATGGTATCTTACAATTACTCTCTGAACTGCCAAGCAAGGTTCTAAGCTGCAAATTTCAGAATCCAGCAGGTCCATTTGTCTAACTAGTCAGTAGGCACTTCTTATGGCACCAAGACACGATTCCATTGATAAAAAGCCATGCCAGCTGATTTTGTACTGACTTTCTGGATCCAATAAGGTGTTGATGGGGGGGGGGGGGGGGGATAGAACCGCAGTCACTCTTTCATTGCTGTCAATGTCCTCTTTAGATGACGTCACCCTCCCTATTTTTCCATTTGACCTCTGCTCCAGAGATGTGAAGGAAATTCAAAATTTTACAGCCGTCACCAAAACAGGAAGTAAAAATAAATCTTCCAATAGGGACACCTGTTCTGGTGACAACTCTCTAAAAGGGAATTTCTTTTACTTCCAGAGAATTAGTCTCCCTTTCTCTAGCATCTACCAGACACAAACAGCAAAGAAAAAGTAAACCGAAGGTGGTTTTAACACTTCCCTATGCTATCCAAAAAAGAAACGTGGCAAAGTATACACATTACTTTCAGCAGTGTCCTAAAGACTCATATTACCAAAAACCTACTGCCATCAGTATACCCAGTCAATGAATGTGACATTTTTATGTCTTGAAAGTAGATTCAGTTTTATTGGCCCGGTCCAGCTGATGGAGTCAGGGAAGAAAAACCGTATCTGTTAGAAGCAATTTTGAAGGCTTTGTTTTGGCCACTTTGCAAGAAACTCAGGAGAGGAGCTATGCAAGACTGTGAAAGACAGCAAGATACAGAAAGACAGAACATGACAAATGGGTGACATCCAGGAAATGACAGGCAGCCATGATGTATAGCAGAACATTAGCCTGGCAAAAAGAAAGCCAAATGGAACGTGATGGTGAAATCAAGGTTCCTAATTTGAAGTTTACCAGAAAACAGTCATGGTAATGGTAACTAGTGAGCTTGCCACATATTTACCATATAGATAGTGAAGACTATCCAATAGAAACAGACAGACATTCTTAGGAATTCACAGGCTGTAAGTACAACTAACCATCTTTCCTGCAGGTTTGAGCGGAGTTGGAGCTGGATGGCTGTCTAGTCCTTTTCCACCTATGTTTAAGCTCACGTATGAATATTTGCTTCCTTTCTTCAGAACCTTGGACCAGGTCATTGACATACTCCTCAATCTCTTCTTCTGTGTCAATAGAAAGGATGTATCTGTGGGGAAAAATACAAAACTGTCCAAATGAAAAATAGGCAGGAAAGCATTTATTTTGAAGAGAAATTACTTAGGGTAGATACACTTCAAGTATAATAAATGATAACGGGTATCAAAAAACTGAACCATAATATACGGACTATACACAGTGCATCCAGAAAGTATTCACAGAGTTTAACGTTTGACACATTTTGTTACAGCCTTATTCCAAAACGGATTAAGTTCATTTTTTTCCTCAACATTCTGCAAACAATACCACATAATGACAACGTGAAAGAAGTTCATTTTGAAATCTTTGCAATTTATTAAAAATACAAATACTTTCTGGATGCACTGTATTTATTCAAATCCTGCACTGCTCCTGCTAATATACAGTATTTAAAGCTGCCTGAAGGCATGTGCACATAAAACAAAATCAACAGTGAACCACGATGGCATGAACAAGATCAGTAGATCAGTGAAACTTACAGTTGTACCTCGGTTTACGAATGCCTCAGTTAACATAATTTTCGGTTTACGAATGACAATCCATTGAAAATAATGCCTCGGTTTACAAATTTTTTTCACAATACGAAGCAAGTTTCCGCGGGATGCATTGCGTCTGGGAGGTTTATAGCGCCCATGCATGCTAGAGTCTGTGGGTAGCATGTGGCGTCGAGTGTGGAGGTATTGTAGTGGTTTTTGCTTTGAGTTTTGGAGCCATTCTGGAAATGGTTTAAATCATGTCCCTGTACAGTATTTATGCCTTTAAAGTGTACTTTATAAAGAGTTTTGAACAGATAAGACTTTTTTTTACTTTTTTCTGACCTCCGGAACGGTAATTGGTTTTCAATGCATTTACGAATTAATTTTTAATCATGTCCCTGTACAGTATTTATGCCTTTAAAGTGCACTTTTTATAAAGAGTTTAACAGATAAAATACTTTTTTTTTGCATTTTTCTGACCTCAGGAACGGATTAATTGGTTTTCAATGCATTCCTATTACCGCATTTCAGTTTATGAATTTTTCGCAATACAAAATGTCTCTGAGAACGCATTAAATTCGTAAACTGAGGTACCACTGTACTTATCTGAAGGTACGGGTCTACAGAATCATTAAAGAGGCTCATGTGGCCAGCCTACATTTACAAGTTGCATATCAGCAGCTAGTATCTCTGGATTTACTGATCACTTTGATATGAGGTTTTCACTGAAGATAATCTCTTCTTTTTTTTATTTATCGTGTGCATAGGGTTAAATGCCAAGATTTGAGAGAGCTCTAAAGCTCATTCACAAGGGCACAGCAAGGAGAGCTCTGTCACTCAAATGCACAATGTACAGTTACCAGCCACAGCCTGTCTTTCATTTGTACAGACCACTGCCCACAGTTGTACTCAAACTCCCGTACTCCTGGACACAGAAATATAAAACTTCTATTAATGGTGTACGCCCCTCTGCAGCCATGTGAATGAGCCCATATAAAACTGGTAACTAGGCTTCCTCCAAATTCATTAGTATGCTGTAGGTAATGGTATCCACCTACCCAAACTTTGAGAATAAAGGACTAATGAGTTGGTAGCTTGTATCTCCCACAAGAGGACACTGAGGCCAAACTTTTAAAAGAACCGTGTCATGAAAGGACTGCCACTTCTGTCTAGGGTTGGAGTCTAGCGTGTTCAGGTCCTAGTCTGAACCCACCTAAGTTATTCCACCAGGAAGCTGTCATTACACAAAATCAATCATATGCAACTGATGCATTTGCTGCAGCTGTATGCATACCAGAGGCGTGTGTACGTTCGTGGCTTAGATGTGATGTCTGCATTCGTTTTCTCTTTTAGGCTTTCATATTTTAAATTCACTTGCTGATCCTGCCAGTAAGCCTGTTGTTTATCAACAGAACAAGGAGTCCTTTAGAAGTAGCAATTAGAGGGTTAAAGTGTTACTAAACCCAGGACCCTGCATTCACTATATCTGGTCTCCCACAGTACACACAACATGGGAGTACAATTATGTTAGTAAATATAAACTGCTAAATACCTTTTCTCATCAGCAGTTAGAGCAGTCTTGTGACTTCTACCAGTGTTCAGCTCAGCACTAGATAAAGCTAGGAGGAGGAGTTTTCTTTCTGCTCTAGAAGGATGCAAAAACCCCTGACCTCTGTCTGACCAGTGCTGATTGGCCCTGTGCTGATCACATGCACTCTTTCAAGAAAGAAGAAAAAAAAAAAAGACTTCTCCAGCAATACACACCAAACTGAGCATGTGCAAAACACCTACCGTTCAGTCTATGTTATCAGGAGATAAGAGGTGGTTGCTTCAGGAATCAGGAACAAACAGCCTTTTTAAACAATGCAGAGGATTAGCCCCTTAGCTTCCACAGTGAATATATCAAGCATGCTTTACTGCATATACAGACTGATTTTACTGTTGTGGGTTTAGTAACACTTTAAGACAAACCATTTCACATTGACGAGGATGCTCACAAAGGTCAGCTTTTATTTATGTAAACCCTTTATCTCAAAAGGAAAAAATGCTTGCTCCAGCTGCTTGTAAAGCTTTAGGCAGAGTTTGGCTTCAATTTGTTAGTGTATCTAAATCTGCTAGTACATCTAAAAACGCCCCTCCTAAGACTGACAACGCTGTCTGCTATGCCCCCTGTGCTCCTTCATCCAGAGCGTGGGCACTCTAATACATGAGAAGTGTTACTGGCCAGATCACCAGATGAAAACAAAGGGGAAAAAAGACTAAAAAAAGAAAACGAATGTAGCCACTATATCTAATGATTGGTAAGCTGCAATGTATTACAATGTTGGTTTGGGGTGGAAGGGTGTGCGTTCCTAGTTCTCAGATCCGCTGTCACAAAACGTAGTCATAGATTTACTAATCATAGGGTGATGATCATTCTGTCCTGGGCACATATCTCAGCTGAAAAAATACTAATCAGGAAATATCAAACGTAGCAGATCCAGCACACTGGACACATCCGCGGCTGTGCTTGTCTATCGACATAAGTGGGCAGATTATGACACTTACTGCACGATGTCCTCACTGACACTCAGACCAAACCGACTCTCCAGCTCACTGACACACCAGCTCAGCAGATCGGCGGCCATCCTGCCCTCCCCTTCTGTACAGCACTCCTGTAGGAGCCGGCACCGGTGACAGCACACGCTCGGGAGCAGCCTGATGACATCGCAGTCATGTGACCGGAAGTAGCGCATGGCCACTTTGTGATGATGATTGGTGGGTAGGGGATGTTTTGGAAGAGGATCCCTCTGGGGGAGTTTACACTGAATAACATGGCAAGCTGTGCCCCGAACTCAGTATACTCATGATGGGGGGTAAAGGGGTGACTGGCTGCTCTTGAGGAAGGAGGGGAGCTTTTAGCAGTGTGCAGTCTGTGTTTCACCACCTAGAGATCATAGAAGATGTGAACATATTACCCCATTCATCAGTGTGTCACCTGTCATCAATGAGTCCTCAGCATGTCGTCAGTCTGACATCAGTGCGTCACTGGTCGTCAGTCTGCCATCAGTGCGTCACTGGTCGTCAGTCTGCCATCAGTGCGTCACTGGTCGTCAGTCTGCCATCAGTGCGTCACTGGTCGTCAGTCTGCCATCAGTGCGTCACTGGTCGCCAGTCTGCCATCAGTGCGTCACTGGTCGTCAGTCCGCCATCAGTGCGTCACAGGTCATCAGTCTGACATCAGTGCGTCACAGGTCATCAGTCTGACATCAGTGCGTCACAGGTCGTCAGTCCGCCATCAGTGCGTCACTGGTCATCAGTCTGCCAACACTAGTCATCACCATGTTACCAGTCATCAGTATGTTGCCAGCCATCGGTCACCTGTCATCACCATGTCATCGGTCTGACATCAGCATGTCACTAGTTATCAGTCTGTCAATTGTCACCAGTATGTCGCTAGTTACATAGTCTGGCTGAAAAAAAGACAAAACTCCATCCAGTTCAACAATTAAAAAAAAAAAGTTATAATCCTACACCCACAGTTGATCCAGAGGAAGACAAAGGAACCCAGCAAAGCATGATCCAATTTGCTCCTGCAGGGGAAACAAATTCCTTCCTGATCCCCCGAGAGGTAATCAGATATTCCCTGGATCAACTCTACCTAATAAATGTCAGTATCCAGTTATAATCTGTGTATCTAAGAAACAATCCTGACCTTTCTTAAAGCAATCCACTGAGCTGGCCAGAACCAACTCTTGAGGGAGTCTATTCCACATTTTCACAGCTCTCACTGTGAAGAAACCTTTCCGTGTTTGGAGATTACATTTCTTTTCCTCCAGACGTAAAGAGTGCCCCCTTGTCCTGTGTGATGACCTCAGGATGAATAGCTCTACACCGAGTTCACTATATGAACCACTGATGTATTTATACATGTTGATCATATCCACCCTTAACCACTTGCCCTCCTGAGCATTTACCCCCCCTTAATGACCGGGCCTCTTTTTGCTACTCGGCGCTGCACTAATTCAACTGATAATTGCGCGGTCATGCAATGCTGCTTCCAAACGAAATTTACGTCCTTTTTTTCACACAAATAGAGCTTTCTTTTGGTGGTATTTAATCACCTGTGCGCTTTTTATTTTTCACGCTCTAAACAAAAAAAGACCAAAAATTTTGAAGAAAAATGATATTTTTACTTTCAGCTATAAAAAATATATAGTAAACTCAAAGTTAGTTATAAATTTAGGCCAAAATGTATTCTGCTCCATGTTTTTGATAAAAAAAATCCCAATAAGTGTATATTGATTGCTTTGTGTGAAAGTTATAGCGTCTACAAACTATGGTATAGATACTGCATATTACACCATTTTTCTGCTATACAGCGCTGCGCTAGTTTAACGGACAATTGCGCGGTCATGCAATACGGTACATAAATGAAATTTACATACTTTTTTTTCCCACAAATTGAGCTTTCTTTCAGTGGTATTTGATCGCCTGTGCGGTTTAAATTTTTTGCACTATAAAAAAAAAAAGATGATAATTTTGAGGAAAAAAAAACTATATTTTGGACTTTTTGCTATAAAACATGTCCCATAAAAAAAAAATTTAAAAATCAAATTTAGTCATAAATTTCTGCCAAAATGCATTCTGCGACATGTCTTTGCTACAAAAAAAACCCCAATACGTGTAAATTAATTGGTTTACGTGAAAGTTATAGCGTTTACAAATGGCGGGAAAGATACTTGGATTTTTAATTTTTTTTTTCATACTAATAATGGCGGCGATCAGCGACTTATGGCGGGACTGCGGCAGACATTCTGACACTGGGGGGGAACTGACTTGGGGTCACTGACATCCCCAGTGACACCAATACAGTGATCAGTGCAAAAAAAAAAAACACTGACACTGTACTAATAGCACTGGGGAGGAAGGGGTTAACTTTATTATTCAGTGAAAAGATTAACTGTGTGAGGGGAGTGTTTTACTAGGGGGCGGGGGTGTGTACTGCAGGGAACACCGCTGATTTGGACAGATAAACTCTTCTGTCCCGATCAGCGTGTCAGGAGCTGTCAGGGAACTGACAGAAAGCACAGCTACTGCAGCTGTGCTCTCTGTCACTGATTACCACTAATCGCCGAGTCATAGCTGGTAACGACCGGCTGTGACCCGGCGACTGAAATCCGCGGCCATGATCGGCGGGACAGGCAGGGTGGCGGCGCGCCTCGTGCGCTCCCCCTATCTGTTTTAAAAACACACGTTTTGCCCAGCCGTGCCGCCCTGCCGCCGTATTTCTACAGTGGCTGGGCGGCATGTGGTTAATCTCCTCTTCTCAAGAGAGAATACATTTAGTTCCTCTAATCTTTCCTCATAGCTGAGCTCCTCTATGCCTCTTATCAGTTTGGTTGCCCTTCTCTGTACTTTCTCCAGTTCCCCAATGTTCTTTTTCTGAATTGGTGCCCAAAACTGAACTGCATATTCCAGATGAGGTCTTACTAATGATTTGTACCGGGGTAATATGATGTCTCTCTCTCTGGAGTCTATACCTCTCCTAATACAAGGGAGGACTTTGCTCGCTTTAGAAACCTCAGCTTGGCATTGCATGCCATTATTGGGCTTGTGATCTACCAGAACCCCCAGATCCTTCTCCACCATTGATTCCCCCAGTTGTACCCCCCCCCCAAGTATATATGATGCATGCATATTCTTAGCCCCCAAGTGCATAACCTTATATTTATCAACATTAAACCTCATTTGCCCCATAGTTTCCCAATTAAACAGTGCATTGAGGTCGGCTTGTAAGTAGGAGACATCCTGTAAGGATGTTATTCCACTGCACAGCTTGGTGTCATCTGCAATGACTGCAGAGGGATTTATAATCCCAGACCCCATATAGTTTATAAATATATTAAAAAGTAAGGGTCCCAACCAGGGGTGGACTGACAACTCATGGGGCCCCCGGGCAATAGGGGATCATGGGGCTCCTGTGTCCTTGCCCAAACTCAAAAAAGCCTATGAAAAAGGTACCAGGGGCATCTCATGGGGCCCCCTACTGACCCCGGGCCCTCGGGAAGTGCCCGAGTTTACAAATGGTCAGTCCGCCCCTGGTCCCAACACTGAACCTTGGGGTACACCACTGACAACCCTAGACCATTCAGAGTATGAATCAGTAACCACTGCTCTCTGAATACAATTCTTTAGCCAGTTTTCCATCCATTTACATACGGATTTTTCCAAGCCTGTAGACTTTACCTTACACATTATCCATGTGTGGGGAACATATGTCAAACGCTTTTGCAAAATCCAAGTATACCACGTCCACAGCCACCCCTCTGTCCAAGGTTTTGCTCACCTCCTCATGAAAAGAAATCAGTTATCAGTCTGTCATCTGTCACCTGTCTTCAGCATGTCACTAGTTAGTCTGTCATTTGTTATTTTTGTGTTAACAGTCTGTCACTTGTCATCTGTGTGTCACCAGTCATCAGCATGGCTGCAGTCATCAGTCTTTCATCAGCTTGTTACCTGTCATCAGTGTGTCATCTGCATGTCACCTGTAATCAGTGTGTCACCAATCATCAACATGGTCCCAGTCATCTGTCTGTCATCTGTCATCAGTTTGTCTCTAATCATTAGTGTATCACCACTAGTCAGTCTGTCAATTCCCATCAGCTGTCAGTGTGATAGCAGGTGATAGGCTGATGATCGATAACAGGCTGATAACTGATAATAGACTGGTGACAGGTGATAAACAAGACTGGTGGCAAGCTGATGACCAATGACACAGTGATAACAGTGTGTTATCAGTCCTCAGCCTGTCACTTGTTATGAGTTTGTCACTGGTCATCAGTCTGTCACCTGTCATCAATCTGACATGCGTCATCACTCGTTCAACTGATATAATTCTGTCACTGTGGCAGCACACAGATATTGCAGAGCTTCTGTTTAAACTTTAACATTTTTAGCAGCTTCGATTTGCAAAAGCATTGTCACCAGCTCACTTCCCCCCTCCCTTATTTCCTGTGAAGTAATGTGTTCCAGCTTGTAGCTGGTATTCTTATCTGTAGCTGGTATTCAAGGCTATATTTTGCACAGTTTAGAAAGTCTATTGAATGTACAGAAAGTGAAAGAGGAAATATATGCATTGTGAAGTAATTGTTGGTATATACACCATGTAAGAGGCTTTTGAAAGCACTTAGCTTTACACACACTGTCTGGCTAAGTCCCAGCTGATAAATAAAAGGTTTGTTTTCCTCAAGTTCGTGTCCGGAGTTTACATGGTATCCCCAAAGTTGCCACTACATCACCTGTCATCAGCCTTTCACATGTTAGTAATTCCTGTTGATGACTTGGTTTGCCTCCTACTGCAATTCCCACTGTCTGCTCTGACCTCTGCCTGTTCTTGATGTTCCTTGGTTGCCACCAGTCTCTGACCTTTTACTTCTCTGACAGCAATCCTAACTCATGTTTCTCTACCATACCTTGCTTTTGCCAGCTATCAGATGTTGCCATCCCAGTTTTATCTGAGGACCACAACCTGGGAGTTGTCTGCAGCAAAGCCCACCACTCTTTGCAGGGTGCTCTGGTGAACACTGGGCAGCTAATGTCACAGTGTTATGTTTAAAGGATAACTCCACTTTTGTGGGAAAGAAAT